TCGCCCTCCACGAGCGTCGCCAGGTTGGCAAGCACCAGCCCCTCCTTCGCCTCCAGCGAGAAAACCCCCTTTCCGAGGCGGCGAGCCTGTCCCACGGGGGCCACCCCAGCGCCCTCCGCGCCATTGGCCCCGCGATGACAAAACCCAGCCCCTCGCGGACAGCGGGCCTGGCGATCTCGATGATCACCTGCGCGAAGAAATTGTCCTGGTCGATCTTGTGTTGCGCATCCTGTCGCTGACCCCTTCGTGGCCCCAAGTTTCCTGCGCGCCCCGATAATAGTCGTCCATGGAGGTGTCCAAGAACATGGTGAGGTGGCAGGCCCAGTGCCGACGTCTCTTCAGACGGCTGAAAAGGCGCTCCACCACCACCACGTCCACTAACTCCTCCACTCGTACGTCCTCCATCCAAGCAGTAACCTGGTGCCCGATCTCCCCCTTCAGTTCCGGCGTGCCCTGAGGCAGCGTCAGTATGCCGGGGCGGCCCTCGCGCGGGTGCATCATCCCGTCCTCCTCCAGGCCCGCCTTGCTCGCTTCCTCCTCTGTCTCCATGTGTGTCTCCCCAGCCCGAATCTGCCGCGCCTGCCCGGCTCCACGGTCCAGCTCGTCCCTGATCTCCTCCGCGCTTGACTCCGCCACCACCGCGCCGAAGCCCTCGTCGCTCGCATCGGTCATGTAGACCGTCGTGTGCCAGTCCAGCTCTAGGTTCGCCTCGAAGAAGATGGCCAGCGCCCCCGAAGCCTTCAGCTCGTCCGAGACAGCGACAGGAAGCCGCCGCGGCCTCTCGGCGCCCTCGCCCTCGAAGCTGCCGACCCATTGGTAGCCGGCGCCCAAGATCGCAAAGGCAGGCCTGCAGACCGGCATCGCCCAGGCCCAGCAGCCCGCCACCGTGGCCAGCTCCCGCGGCCGCGCGGACTGAACCGCCGCGATCGCCTCGGTGCAAATGATCAGATCCTTCATCTTTCCGGGGTAGATCTTCAACGTGTAGGGGCGCCTTCGTGTGGTAAGTCCCAGCCCCCGTCGGAGTCCGCCCCTTGGCTCTTCCTTGTGCGCTGCGAGGCCCTTTGCATCCAAATAGCTTTGAACGTGGCCCTTGCTCACCTCGAGATCCCCACCCCCCCATCCTTCGCGAGCTTCAGGCCTATGTAGTCGTCGATGTGCAGCGGCAGCGGAAGCTCGGTCCTGGCAAAACTCGGGCACGCCTTGCCCAAAGTGATCTGCTCCGTGGACAGTGCCCCCATGGGCTCGAAGCAATCGACCAGGGCAGAGTGGGCCAGAAAGACCGCCCAGGCCGCGCTCATCACTGGGGCGGCCGACCCCCGCCCCCACGGCGCCCGCGGGGGGGGGCAGGAAGGGTCGCGCCAGCCTCCTCCGCAGAGGTGCACAGCTCCTCGGGCGTAACCCCCTCGAACGCAAAATGCTCCGCCAGCCCGTCCGCCCACCTCGACCTGTAGAACCAGTCGGGCACATCCCCCTGGAGGCTCCCCAGCACGCGGCCCCTCACGATGTCGCTCGTCAACCCCAGCTCGGACAGGGCGGGCGGCGACCCCAGCGGCGTCCACGGGGGTCGCCGAAAGAGGAGGTTCACCTTCCGAGCGTCCCAGATGAGGCGAGACTTGACCACGCCCCGTCCGCTCTCGCTCGCGTCCGTGGCCGCGCAGAAAAGCACCGCAGTGTGCTTCGCCTCCTTGACGTACTGGCCCATGCCCGGTTGCAGCATCCTCGTGGCCACGGTGAGCCTCGCGTGGTGCTCCTTACAGCCAGGGTCGGAGTAGCTCTTGATGCTCTCGTGCCTCTCCCAGTCCACCTCCTTGGGGCCCTCCAACATCCGACTGTCGAAGCGCTCCAGGTAGGGCGCCGCGGTCGTCGAGAGGGCCGCCAGAGGTAGGCCCGCGGCGCCATGGAGGCGGCAGCGAAACTTGGTCCGCCACCATCCTGCAGAGGTCGCCCTTCTTGATAAACGTAGTAGATGATGTAGTCTGCTTCTTGCCGCGCCCTCCGCCTGCCGCATGGCCCGAGCTGTCGGGCCCCCGCAGACGGCGAGCAACCGCCCTGCCGTCGCTGATGGCACCCCGCGCTCCGAGCGCGGCGTGGCGGTCCCAGATGTCGTGGGCAACCTTGCGCTGGAGCCCAGTAGCCTCCGCCCGCGAGCTCAGCGCAGCCGCCCCGTCGGCCGTGCCCACTCGCCCAGCGGCCAGAGCACGAAGTGATCGAACCGTTCGACAGGTACGCAGCCAAGTCAGACGCAGCTGCTCCGTCGTAAAGCCCGAGCTCGACGCCCGCGTCGCCAACGGTCCCGTCGGCGCGGGCAGGCTCCGAAGTGGGCCCCTTCTCTCGGAAGTCCATGATCATCTGCGATGCGTAAAGGAAGCGCCTGCCCACCTGGAGCGCGACGTGGATTGGGCGCAGTGATGCAGCTCAGGTCCGCGATATGCAGAATTCGGCCCGAGCTAAATTCGCTGCGCAGCCCAGCGTCAACCCGGCTGGCGAGGCCCAGCGCGGCGAGCTCTAGGGCCTGGACTCTCCTGCTCCGCCCTCGGCCCGACGATCTCCCCGCTGACGATCCCGACGCAGCGCGGATCCACGGGGGTGAGCGCAGCAGTGCGAGACTTGCCCAAGGGACGCCGCTCCAAAGCGTGCCTTCGGGGCACCACTATTCGTCATCCTCGGGCGCCGCGTCTCGCAGCGATGTCAGGTGCTTCTGGATCTGCGCCCTCTTCCTCGGCTTGTCCGTCACCTCGTCGTCGGCCAGGGGGTCCTCGATGGTGTCCTGGGACGTCAGCCGCAGGTGCCCCCCCCCTGAGCGACCAGTCAACCTTCGCCTTCCACTTGGCCCCGCTTGCATTGCGAGGCCTCTTCCAGTCATGCTCGCAAGTCACCTCCTCGTAGGCCTTCATGATCGCGTGCGCCCTGAAGCAACTCAGCTCCCTCATCTGGGAGTGGATCAGGCCCTTGAAGCCCCCCGAGGCCATCGTGCGGTCCAAGGTCATGGCGAGGACCGCCATCTCGTTGGCGATGGGGGCCCGCGTGAGCTCCTTGCTCCTCAGCCACTCCTGGACCTCGATCTTCGCCGAGCGCCCGCCCCCCCCCCCCCCCCCTGGTAGACCTTGCTCAACGCCGTCGGCGCCGCCCGAGACTTGATCCCCCAACGCGCATGTTGGGGGCGTGCTCGTAGCTCTTCAAGGTCGGGATGAGGGCGCCCCTGGGGGTCCTGCTCTCCAGCTCGAGCCGCGCGATCGCGTCCGAGACCGAGTCCGAAGGGGCGGAGGGCCCCCCCCCACTCCGACTCTGAGGCGGACTTGCCAGCCTCGCGCCCGCTCCCCTTCGTCCCCTGGTCGGAGTCGCTCTTCACCAATTCCTCGTGCTCGTTCAACTTGGCGATGAACTGGTCGAGCTGCGCCGATGCGGGGCACGGGGCTCTCATCAGCAGGGCTGGAGGCCGCGCCCGTGGGCGCGACCGATGTTTCCTTCTTGCCCTGCTTCAGTGCGTGCCTCCGTGATGGCGGCCAGTCCCGCCCGCAGCTCACTCTGACCACGTTGCAGCTCCGCGTGCAGTCCCTTCGCATCTGGCTCATCTTCCGAGTCGGGCACCGTGGTGCCCAAGATCAGCTCCCCCTCGGAGACGTCGGACTCTGAGTCCGAGTCCGTGAATCCTTGCCACTGTCGGAACATGTAGTTCAGGGCCCACACCCCAAAGATCACGCCCCCGAGCCCCGTCAGGATCGCTTCCAGCTCGCCCGACTCCCAGGCCTCCAAGAGGAGCCCCCAGTAGTCCGACACCTCCTCCGCCGTCTCCTTTGCGGCCACCGCCGCTTCGTACATCTTGTGGAACAAGGGTCCCAGGTGGAAGTACCTCCAGATACGCCAGGCGGCAAAGGCCCCACCAGCGACGCCGCCCCACGAGCGATGGAGCCACCCGTAGCAGAACAGGTTCGACCCCATGGCCCAGATCCAGTTCACCAGTCCCGCCTTTTTTGAGACGTTCTTCTTCCCGCTCGTCTTCCAGTAGCCCTTCTTCTTGTCCTCAGCCTTGCTCAATTTGACGTTCTCGGCGTCCAGCTAGCTCCTTGCGCGCGATCAGGCGCGAGGGGGCGGCCAACAACATTTCCCTGGTGTTGCCCGTCAGCCCAGGGAAAGGGGTCCAAGTGCTGATGCACCGTGGGGGTTTGGTGAAGACCGACTGCTTGTCTTTCAGGCACACGATCTGGACCCTGAGGCTCGGATCGACGCGCGTCCACGTTTGGTCGGCCGCCTTCCCGACACGCTCCACGAGCAGCATGACCACTCCCGAGGCGTGACCCTTGGGCAGGTAGTAGACTAATACACTCTGTTCCACTGCGCCCACCCGCCCATGACGAGCGGCACGCTGCCCACGACCTCCACGTCAGCCGCGACGTCGACTAGCTCGACCGTCTCCGACGCGGCGGTCTCCTCCGCCACGTCCTCGTCGGCGTCGTCCTCAACCTCGCCCGCGAACCGCAGGCCGAGGAAGTCCAGGACCTGGTCCTGGCTCAGGCCGCCGCCCGCGGCCAGCACCTCCTCCTGGAGGTCGCCCGAGAGGCCCGGGAGCGCGAGCATCGCGCCCGCGAGCGCGAATGGTCGCGGAATAGCTTCGCGGTGGGTGGCCGTGCACAGGCACGACCGCTGAAAGGCCCGCCCGCGGGTCTCACCCGTGCCGACTTGAGCCCGAAGGGGGCGGGAGAGGACGGAGGGGGTAAAGGCGGCAAACAGACTACGATGGGGATGTAAAATTAAGTTCAAGAGCCACTAAGAGAGGGAGGGGTGCACCCCCGGTCCAACAGAAGGGTGGGGCGGAGGAGGACAGAACCGTGGCACGGAGCGAGGAGGAGGAAGAGTAGGAGGAAGAACAGGAGAAGGAGGAGGAGGAGGAGGAGGAGGAGGAGGAGGAGGAGGAGGAGGAGGAGGAGGAAACGAAGTGAGAGGTGGTGTGCCAGAGACGCGTCTGGCGCTGCCCGACGCCCCCCCGGAGTCTGCCGCCGCAGGTTTACCCCAGGTCGCGCGTGATTGCGGCCCACATCGCTGCCGAAAGCCCCGGCGACGGAGGGTATACTGCGGAGCGCGCCGCCCATCGGGGCTCTCCCGGCGGGGGCCCGAGGAGCGCTGGCCGGCCTCGGAGAGCCGTGCACGAGCCTGGGGCTGCCGAGAGGGGGGTGAGGTGATGAGGGATGTGGTCGGAGCTTCGACGGGGGGTCAATGCAAACGGGGTTCGGTCGGGGCGCTGGATCTTGCAGGATCCTGCAGGGCCAGGGTTGCACCGACCCGGGTTGGAACGCGGGATCCTGCAGGATCCTGCACAGCCCGACTGGCCCGGGTCTGAATTGAAGTGGGTCAGTAGATTCCCAATGTGGTGCCCAGACTTCAAGCCCCCCCCGCCTCTTTTAGCATGTGCCGTGCCCTCCTTTCCCTGGGGCCGTGCGCATGCTTCGGTGGAATGCCTAGGAGGTCGAATTCTGAGTTTGCCCTTGTCCGGAATCCTGCTTCATCCGGATTGGTCCCGCTTAATTCGTTTTAACCCTGCTCAATCGGGCTTAATCTTGCTTGATCCGCAGCCTAGTCTGGCATAACAGCCCCCGATAGGGTTTAAAGTCCTCCTCAATCCTTCCGACGAAGACCTCCCAGCAGTTGCCTCCTAATTCTTGGACGCCCTCGAAGTGCCGTGGCAGAGGGGGTCCTTTGTTCAGTCAGTTCGGCTGCGCGGTCGGCTGCATCTCGGTTGGCTCGGTCTGGTCGGCTGCCGCGCCGCTGCGTCTTTTTCTGGGCTGCGTTCGGCTCGTCGGGTCTGGTTGCGTCAGTCGGTTCGGTCGGTTTTCGATTCTGGTGTCGCCATGGATTTCCTGGGTGCAGGTCTCGGCGGCGAGCCGGGGGAGAAGTGAGAAGGAGAAGGCCTTCTCAGAAGGCGGTGGGACTTCTCAGAAGCCCTCGCGTCTTCTGAGAAGTTTACTATGTGCTCGGGGAAATCTTAGAAAACTTCTCAGAAGGCCGCGGGACTTCCGAGCCTTCTGAGAAGGCCTATTCCTTCTCACCCTCAGCCTCACTCGCCGCTGAAGGTCCGCCGAACAGAAACAGATTTGGAGATGGAATGAATTGATGTGAGGCGAATGCTGTCATGCGAACGCGGGGCGTTGCATGCGCGATAGCCGCCCTGGTCGACAACGCTCGACGAAGTGTGGCGACGAGTGAACCTAAATATTGCAGCTCAACGAGCATTGGAAGGGCATTCATATGCACTTGATTGGGATAGTAGGCGAGTATTGTGTTCCAGGGCCAGAAGACGGTACTTGTAATTGTTAGGCTGAATAAGAGGAAGCGGGCAGAAAGAGGGCAGTCGGAACATGCGTCGCAAGAAGAATTCAATATTTCGGTGATGATGATGCTGATGATGATGATGATGATGGTGGTGGTGGTGATGATGATGACGATGATGGTGCTGCTGATGCTGATGATCACTGATGATGCTGATGATGATGGTGGTGATGATGATGCTGATGATGCTGATGATGCTGCTGCGGCTGATGATGATGATGATGCTGATGCTGATGCTGATGATGATGATGATGCTGATGCTGCTGCTGCTGCTGCTGCTGCTGCTGATGATGATGATGATGATGATGATGATGATGATGATGATGATGGGTGTTCTTGAACTTTAATCCTGGAGCAGAATGAGTGCCGCTGGACAATGATGTCCATCTCGGATCTGCCATCCGCAGCCTTTTCTCTCGAGATGCGGCCAGAGGAGGCCTGGATTTCATCGATCGCCCTCCTTTTGGCCGGGTTCGCCCTCGGTCCAGCCTCGCGCGGGCTCGCGCCCTCTGGTGGCGGGCAGCCACCACCCGATCCTCCGCCGGCCGCGGAGGCGCCATTGGAGCCAGAGGCGCCCTCAGCCGAGGCCTGCGCCGCCTGGGTCCAGCCCGCTCCGCCGTGCGTGGAGCCGACCGTGGAGCTGCGGCCGCCCTCCATCGAGGAGTGCGTCGCCCTGCTCCAGGAGTGCTCGGCGAGCGCCGGGCAGGAGCCGGGGCAGCAGTTTGCGTATCACTCGCGGGCCCGCTGCTCGTGGAGGCGCTTCGCGGGCTGCTCGCCGGGCCTGGGTGCTGCCGACGCGCCCTGGTGGAGCAGCCTCCGCCGGGCCACGGCCAACGCCTTCTGTGCTGCCTGCTGGCAGCCGTGCGCACCAGCAGCTGCAGGGTTCGGGCGTCATCAAATGAATGAGGGTGATGAACTTGTCATCGAGTATGCGGTCCACCCTCCGTTGCTGCTCGGCCGCACTGTGGTGGGTGTGTCTCAGATACAGCCTTTCAACGCAGTGGTGGTTACTCCCGACAACGGCCTGTACGTGGAAGAGCTGGAGCCCGCCAACACGGACATCCGCGCCTGGTATCGCAGGACTCCAGGCGGGGGGCCCCCGCCGGCCGCGGCAGCCGGGATCCCCGTGTACGACTTCGCGCAGCCTCTCATGCTCGCCGACTTCCACGCGCTGCGCCCTGCAGCCCTCAGACTCGTCGCCGAGCACGACGCCGCCCTGGCCGCCGCCGGGGCCGGCGACGCTGTCGTGCCCGCCGGGTTGGGCCCCGCCGTGGCCGCGGCAGCAGCTGCGCCCATCGCACCTGCCGCGGCAGCAGGGCCTGCAGGCCTCACCGGCGCTCTGGCGCCTCTGCCCGTCCCCGGGGCTCCCGCTCCAGCATGCATCGCAGCGGCTGCTGGAGCAGCTGGCGCCGCGGCCGCCTTTGGCCCAGCAGCACTCGCTGGAGGCGCCGGGCTTCCACCAGCCGCAGCAGGAGACGACTTCCGCACGCTGGCCGTCACCTACGATGAGGAGGGCCGACGCCACAAACAGTTCGGCGAGGGGGTCAGAGCCATGCGCCAGCAGACCTGGCCAGACTGGTTTGTGCTGGGCCCGTGTACGGTCTTGTGGTGCGCCAACTATATGCTGGAGAACGGCGGGTCGGCGGTGGGGCACCACATCGCGCTCCGCTCCGCCTGCCGCCTCGGGTTGGACGGCCCCATCATGGTGCTTCGCTCCGAGATGTCGAAGATCTTCCAGACTGCTTTGTACATCGCCGCCCTCGAACTCATCTGCCGCCAGATCCATTGGTGCGAGGAGAAGCTCAAGGACGTTCTGCTTGGGTCGTCGGGCCCGGAAGGGCAGCATGACGAGAGCTTCCTTTTCACGGGGCTGCAGAATACTCGAGGGGTCATGGTGTGCCCGGCTCTCGCAAAGTGGTTTTCAGAGCAGGTCGCCGCCGAGAACGCCGTGGCCAAGGAGCGCCGCAAGGCGTGGGAGGAGAGGGCGCTCGCGAGGCCGCCGCCGGGCCGCGGGCCGCGGCCGGGCCGCGGCAACGGCTCGTGAGCCGCGCGGCCGCTCGACTGGACAAGGCAGCTGCCCGCGCCCTGGCCGCGCGCGGGAGCTCCCAGTGCAGGCCCTTCGCTCCTGGCCCCAGATGGCGGCCAGTCGCCAGCGAGACATTTTCCCTCTCTCCCCGCTCGACGTGCCCGCCAGCCTGCCTGGTGGCTCCCGGGCTATTCAGCGACGGCGTCAGCGGCTTCAGCACAGCGCAAGGCTCGCCAACCACGCTATCGAGTCCCTCAACTTCATGGCTGGCCGTTCCTACGACGGGCCCGCCCAGCTGGACACGGTCGCCCAGGCCCTCGCGAAGGAGCGCGTGCTGGGCAACTGCGTCGCGCTGGGGCCCAAGCCGCAGGACGTCAGCGCCCACGGGGGCCTTCGCGAGCTCTGTGGGAATGCCATTACATATGGCGACTCCTCCCCGGTCGTGCCCTACAACAAGGATCTCGTGTCCTGGCCCGAGACGGGCGCGGCGCCAGTGCAGCTGTCGGACGCGCTCGCCCTGGAGCACCACACATGGTTGAGGGATCTATTGGCCAACTCGCGTCGCAGTAACGCTGACGCTGACCGCCTCAGGAAGGAGTTGGGCTTGGTGCGCCCTTACTCCGATCCTGCCTTCCGCACCATCTCCAACTACGCTGGCTTCGTCAAGCAGTTGCACTCCCGTGGCATGGTGCGCTTCGCCCTCGCCACCGGCCGGCCGCCGTCGCTGGGCATCTTCATGGTAGCCAAGAAGAGCGGCGCCCAGCGCATTATCTTCGACACGAGGTGGGCAAACCTGGACTTCACTCCTCCGCCTCGGACCCAGCTGCCGACGGCGGCCGCGTTCAGCCAGATCGAGTCAGCTGGCTGCGACGTCTGCTACTTCTCTGCCGGGGACATCCAGAACGCGTTCTACGCCATCGCCATCCCTGCCGAGCTGGGCGACGCCTTCAGGCTGAAGACGGTCCGAGCTGGTGCCGTCGGCTGTCCGGTCGTGGATGGCCGCCCAACCCGCCCGGGAGATCTTTGGACCCCGCATCTCGCCGTGCTCCCTATGGGCTGGAGCTGGGCGCTTCACCTCTGCCAGCTCGTGGTTGAGGAGGGCGCCCGACGAGGGGGCCTGCTCGCCGATCGGCTGCTCAGCGATCGCGCGGCTGCGGCGCCGCTGGCCCCTGCTGTCCTGCAGGGGGCTGTCTACGTCGACAACTTTCTGGTGCTTGGCGGGCCCCGCCAAGCCGTCGCCTCTACTGGGCGGCGAGTTGCGAGCGCCTTCTCCGACTCCGGCTTCGTGGTGCACGAGGAGACTGGCGTGTCGTCGAAGGTGAACTTTGTGGGGCTCGAGCTTGACGGTGTCGACCATACTGTGCGGGTCTCGCGGAGGCGAGTGTGGCGCCTGAAGGTAGCTCTGGCCGAGCTGCTCTCCCGGGGGCGCTGCAGCGGCGACGTCATGGAGATCCTGGTCGGCCACCTGACGTGGGTCATGTTGCTCCAGCGGTCCGCGCTCTCCGTCCTGTCCAGCGTGTACGCTTTCGCGCAGGCTGGCAAAGGGCGCGTGCTGGACCTGTGGCCTTCGGTTCGCCAGGAGTTGACGACGGCCATGGGCCTGCTCCCGCTGCTCGTCGCCCACACCGACGCCGTCTGGCACAGTGTCGTCGCGGCCAGCGACGCCTCCCACTGGGGCTGCGGGGTGTGCCGCCGGCACTGCCAGGCTTCAGAGGCCGCTTCCTTCGGCCGGGTGGCGGAGCGCTGGCGCTACCGCGCTGCCGGGGCGGCCAACGCGCGTCCACGCCTTCCTCGCCGAGGGCGCGGCCCCGGACGTTGGCGCTGGCGCGGGCCCCGAGTCCGACTCGGCGCTCCAGGACGAGCAGCTTGGCTTCACCGCTGGACTGCTGCAGGCGCACGCGGACGCGTGCTCGTTCGACCCGGTCGACGCCGATTTCATGCATCCCAGCCGGTGGCAGGTGGTCCAGAGCTTCAAATGGGGGGCCGACGCAAACATCCTCCGCCTCGAGGGCTTGGCCCTGTCTTCGGCTCTTCGTCACCTGCTCCGGAGCCGCTCGGCTTTCGGGCGACGGCTGCTCGTCTTCGTCGACAACCTCGGGCTGGCTCTCGCAGTGGGAAAAGGGCGGTCCGGGGCCTTTCAGATTCGAGACGTCCTTCGAGAAGTCTGCGCCCTGTCTTTGGCCTGCGGGGTCAGGCTGTCTGTCCGATGGGTTCCGTCTGAACGCAATCCCTCGGACTACCCCTCCCGAGGTCGTCTCTTCATCAAGCAGGCGCGCGACTCGGGCGCCTCGGCTGCTGCTCCTGGTGCGGTGGCTACTGCTGGCGACGCCGAGCCTCTGCCAGCCGTCCCGCCATTCCCGAGCCTCATCAAGGGCGGCTCCATGCACGACGCGGACCCTGCAGGCAGAGGCCCACGCGTGGCAGGCGGGGCAGACTGCGATTCCCAGCGGGGTCCAGACGGCAGCGCGCCAGCGCTGCTTGCCGCTGCCCCCGTCGCCTTTCGCCCTCCCGACCCTGCAGCAGCTGACCTACCTGGAGGAGCGGTCGGTGAAGCCTGCGACGTACAAGGACTACCACCGCCGAGCCCTGGCCTTCGCCCAGTGGGCCACGGCGGCCCGCCAGGGTTGGGAGAACTACGAGCTGCTGGACCTCTGCCTGGTGCCGTCCCTGGACAAGCTGCTCTTCGGGGGCTTCGCGGGCGACGACGCGAGCAGGCTGGTCGCAGCGGTGAAGTTCTTCTACCCAGGCCTGGGCCGCTGGGGCGCCGGGGCGCTCCCGCGCGCATCGCGGGCCCTGGCGGGATGGGGCAAGGTCGTGCCGCACCGGTCGCGGATGCCGTTGCCCTGGGTCCTGCTGGCTGCGATCATCGGCGTCTTGCTGCGCCGGGGCCTCGTGGAGCATGCGGTGGCGCTCCTGGTCTCGTTCGTGGCCTACCTTCGGCCAGGCGAATGCGACTCGCTCACGTCGCTCCAGTTGGTCGCCCCCGTCGCGGCGGCCGGAGGGGCCGCGGACGTCTGGGGACTGCTGCGGGCGCCGGTGGAGCTGGGCAACCCCAGCAAGACCAACTGCTGGGACGACGCGGTCCTCCTGGACTCGATCCCGTACGTCTACCCCTGCCTCCTGGTCTTGAAGCGCCGATGCCTGTCGCCGACGGACCGCATCTGGAGCTACCCGCCCGGGGACCTCTCGACCAAGCTGGCAGTGGCGGCGGCGGAGTCCCAGCTGATGCACCTGGGGATCACTCTCTACATGCTTCGCCACAGGGGAGTGTCCCACGACATCCTGCACCGGCTGCGGACCCCGTTGGAGGCAAAGCTCAGGATGCGCGTGGCGTCAGACTCGACTTCGAAACGGTACGCCAAGCAGACGAGGGTGGTCTCAGAGCTGGGCAGGGCGCCGCCGCTGGTGGTGACCTTCGGCAACCGCGTCTCGTCCCTGCTCGCCGCCATATTCGCCGGCAAGGCCTCGGTGCCGAGCCCGCCCGCGCTGCCAGGCCACCAGGGTGCTCTGATGACCGCCTGAGTGACCGCCAGGTTGTCGCCCGAATGCGTTCTTTGCTCAGGGCAGCGCTGTCGGCTGCCACTCGCAACAAGCGACATATTTTTCTGGAACTCTTTGCAGGCTCCGAGGGGCTCAGCCGAGGGGTGAAAAATCTGGGGTACGGTGTGATCGCTGCTGACATCGTTTCTCGTCCGTGGTTCGATCTGGATCGGCCTGTCATCCAACGCACCCTTCTCGGCTGGGTCTCCTCAGGGCTCGTGCTGGCCGTATGGCTGGGTACCCCATGTAACGCGTGGTCCCAGGCGCGTCACGGCCCCCCAGAGTCCAGCTGGTGTAGACTTCGTGCACCCCATGCAATCTGGGGGCTTCCAGGCCTTCAGGGCCGAGCCCTGGCCGCGGCTCGGCACGGCAACAGTCAGGTAATTTTTTCTCTAAGGATCATTCGAGCCTGTCTGCGCCTTGGGACCCCTGCCTTCCTCGAGAACCCTGCCTCCTCCTTCTTGTGGTCTGTCCCCCCTCTCTTGAAACTCGCCTCTCACCCTAGCTCTCAAAGCCTTGTGTTTGATTTCTGCGGGTTCGGGACCCGATGGAGGAAACGCACTCGAGTCCAGGCGTGGTGCAGCGGATTCAGAATCCGCTTGCCCCAGTTGTGTAATTTGCGTGGGGGGATTTGCGCCCACACGCACAAGCGTCACATTGTCCTCACAGGTCGTGACCCTGCTTCTGGAAAGCTCTGGACACAAGTCGCGCAAAGCTACCCCAAGAGGATGGCCACCTGTTTCGCTTCTGCAATCATGCATACCGTCCAGAGCCTGCACCTGGCCCGAGTGCAACGAATGTTATCCAGTTAGTCGTTTTTGACGGCATTTTGCCAGTAACCATCTTGGGACTTGGGGTCCCTCTCCCCTCCTCTCCTTGTCGGTGGTGGTGGTGTGTCCTCCTTCCCGCTCTCTCTCCTCCCCCACTGCCCGCGCTCTCTGGCATGAGTCGGTCCGTGTTCAGTGATTTTTCGCCTGGCCTGCGAACACAAAATCGTTCTCTGGCACGGGTGGCGCTCGGGATGGGTGTTCTTGAACTTTAATCCTGGAGCAGAATGGGTGCCGCTGGACAATGATGTCCATCTCGGATCTGCCATCCGCAGCCTTTTCTCTCGCCCGCCCTCCCTCCCCTTTTTCTCCTCCTGGTCGGTGGTGGTGGTGTGTCCTCCTTCCCGCTCTCTCTCCTCCCCCACAGCCCGCGCTCTCTGGCATGAGTCGGTCCGTGTTCAGTGATCTCTCGCCTGGCCTGCGAACACAAAATCGTTCTCTGGCACGGGTGGCGCTCGGGATGATGATGATGATGATGATGATGATGATGATGATGATGATGATGATGATGATGATGATGATGATGATGATGATGATGATGTTGATTCTGATGATGATGATGATGATGATGGTGGTGGTGGTGGTGGTGGTGGTGGTGGTGGTGATGATGAGGAGGAAGATGAGGAAGAATAGGACCACGAGGAGGAAGAGGAGCACGAATAGGAACGGCACAACATTGGCAAGTAGTTGTGGAATCGTGGGTGGCATTGTTAACTAGAGCGAGACAGGGGCTGATGTAGCTCGTGGACAGTCGACCTTTCTGGGATGGCCTACAACCACCCAGCCTGAGCATGTTGTGTAGCCGAGCGGGAGCTGCGTTCGCGCAGCCAGACAGGCAACCCCCAGCCTTCAGGTATGGTCTTTGAAGAGAGGCAATCGCTTGCATGCTTTGTTATAGGCGCCTTGCGTCTTTGCACTCCGTCATTCTCGTTGATCTTACCCGTATTTGTGGTTGCCTTCGGCCAATCCTCCCGCCGTTCCTGGATCATGGACAAGAGTCTTCTGAGAGGCCACTTGGGGTCTCTTGCGCGGCCTTTGGATCCTTCGCGCCGACCTCTTTGTGGCCTCCGAGGGGTATCTTGAAGGTCTCTTGGGGGCCTAGCGGGGAACTCTTCAGGGCCTCTGGGTGTCTCTTGGGGGCATGTTGGGGGTTGAAGGGGATCGCGTGGACCATCTCGGGTGGGGTGTGGGGTCCCCCAATGCCCCTTGGAGTTGCCCTTCGTGGTCCTCTTCTCAGACAGGGGAAGTTTTCCGCTTCTGATTTTCGTTTGATTTCTCCGACAGATGCGCAAACGCATGGAGGGGACCCTTGCAAGTTTGGCCCGCGCCCGCAGTGTCATGTTTCGAGCATGCTCGACGACGCAGGCCGCGTCGATGGCGATGGCTGTGACGACCACGGCGACGAGGAGATCGAACATAAGTCAAGGGAGGAAAAAACACCCGGACCCGACACTTGGCGTTTAAACGGCCTTGGGTGTTCACTAAACAGCCCTGCCTTGTTCGATTCTTTCTTTGGGCGCCTTTACCACACGACTTCGCGTGTCGGGGTGGTTATTATGGGGGTGTTTTTTTTCGACTTCTATGGGGGACGGGGCTGATGGCGGCGATGACGACGGCGTCGGAGATTGCGGGTGGCGGCAGCCTCTGGTGGGCGGCAGTCGGCGTTGATGGCGGCATGGCTCGGGTGAGCCGCTCCACCAGCCCATCCGAAAACGATGCCCAGGCGAGTAGTTTTGATCAGGGGTGTGGAGGAACATGCAGTGGAATTGTGGGGGTTGGAGGAGCCGTCATATCCAGGGGGTGGGAGGCTGGAGGAGGGGTCAAAGGAAGAGTGGGGGAGGGTGGGGGAGGACGGAGGAGGTACGAGGAGAAACAGGCTGACGAGGAAGATGAGGAGGAGGAGGAAGAAGAGGAGGAGGAGGAGGAGGGCGAGTATCAAGGCCAGAGGCCTCTTGGATGCCTTGACTGCTTCTTGGAGTCCTCTTGGAGCGTCTTGGGCTCTGGGCGATCCAGGGGGCTTGTTGGAGTGTCGTCGGTGCCTCGTGGTAGCCTCTTGGGGCGTCTTGGTGGTTTCTTGGGAGCCTCTCGGAGATCTCTTGGGAACCTCTTGGGGGCCTCTTGGGGCCTCTTGGGCGCATCTTGGGGCCATCTTAGGGCCATCTTGGGAGCTTTGGCGGCCATCTTGGGGCCATTTTGGAGGAGTTCGTTCAAATAAGGGGGGGGGGTCTACTTAGCCCCCCTGCCTGGAGGCCAACATGTTCCCAGCACCTGATTCGCATCGTTGAGTTTCGCCTTTTTGCCGAGGCCTTCTAGGACGCTGCAATCAGTCGCTGGGCGCCTCGTCCAGTTCCGGGGAAGGGGGTGGGTGGAGGGGTCAAGACACCTTCAGCCCACAAGGCACAGGCCATCTTGCTCGCTCCCATCCGCCCTCCAAACACATCAGTAGCACCCGAGCCCCTCTTGCAAGCAACGAAGGCACAGTGGTCGCGGGGCGCCCGCGCATGCTTCAGATTTGGAGGCCAAGTGTGCTGTGTATTGTTTTTGGACGGATGGTTGTTGTTGGACGGATGGTTGGCCTGCAGGCAGCAATCGATACGAGGCCGCCCGCGGTCCCTGCCAAAAACAAATATGAAGTGGTCGCGGGGCGCCCGCGCATGCTCCAGACTTGGAGGCAAAGCGAGGTCTACACTGTTCTTGACGTGCGGTTGGCTTGCGCGCAGCAAGCAATAGGAGCCCCCCCCGCCGTCCCTGCCAAAAACCATGCAGAGTGGTGGCAGGGCGCCCGCGCATACTCCAGGTTTGGAGGCATGGTTTTGGTGTGGGTTGTTTTGTTTTGTTTTTGGGTTGTTTTGTTTTGTCTTGGTTTGTGTTGTGTTGTGTTGCGTTGTGTTGTTGTTGTTGTTGTTGTTGTTGTTGTTGTTGTTGTTGTTGTTGTTGTTGTTGTTGCTGTTGGTGCTGCTGTTGCTGTTGCTGTTGCTGTTGCTGTTGCTGTTGCTGTTGCTGTTGCTGTTGTTGCTGCTGCTGTTGTTGTTGTTGTTGTTGTTGTTGTTGTTGTTGTTGTTGAACTCTCACTCTTGAAGAATAATTATTGTTGATCCCCCCCCACCGGTGCACATTGATTTTTTTCGATTGAAGTGCCACCCCCGGGGCTCGCACCTTGTTTTTTCTGAAGGAAAGTCTTCCTGCTCAAACTGTGCCCCTGCCCCCCGGGCTACAACAACAACGGCTCCCGCCTGAGACTTCCTTGATTTTTACTCAGGACCCCCGCTCCCGCCTGAGACTTCCGCGCAATTTACTCAGGAAAGGCGCTCCCGTCTGAGACTTCCTCGCAATGTAATCAAGACCCCCGCTCCCGCCTGAGACTTCCGTGCAATTTACGTGGGAACGGCGCTCCCGCCTGAGACTTCTTCGAATTTTACTCAGGACCCCCGCTCCTGCCTGACATTTCCGCGCAATTGACTCAGGAACGGCGCTCCCGCCTGAGACTTCCTCGCAATTTAGTGAGGACCCCCGCTCCCGCCTGAGACTTCCGTGCAATTTGCTCAGGAACGACGCTCCCGCTTGAGACTTCCTCGCAACTTAGTCAGGGCCCCCGCTCCCGCCCGAGATTTCCTCACAATGTACTCAGGACTGCGCTCTCGCGTGCGACGTCCTCACAAATTATTCTGGAATTGCGTTTCGGCGCTCAGGAACCACGCACGCGCCAAGGACGCCTTCACAACGTGGTATCTTCCCTCTTCCTTCGTCCTTCCCCCTCCCCTTCCTCCCACTCTCCCTCGTTCTTCCCCTCCTCCTCTTGCAGGGCCCGCGCCAATTCCAATGGCGGGCAGAGAGATGTACGCCCCCGAAGGATTGTCCGCCCGTTCCGGTTTGCCCGTACGTCTAAGCCCGCCGGCCCCAGCAAAGAGAAATAATCCCCCCGAAAGGGGTGTGATCGAAGACGAAGAGGGCGGGTATCGAGGGTGTAGGGTATACGTGTTGAATGACTCGCGGGCAAGTAAGAGCGCACAGCCTTAAAATGGTTGTTATTGTTGTTGTTGTTGTTGTTGTTGTTGTTGTTGTTGTTGTTGTTGTTGTTGTTGTTGTTGTTCATGTTGTTGTTGTTGTTGTTGTTGTTGTTGTTGTTGTTGTTGTTGTTGTTGTTGTTGTTGTTGGTGGTGGTGGTGGTGGTGGTGGTGGTTTTGGTGTTGTAGTATACAAGAAATAGCGCTTATGTGTGTTGCACTGTTCCCAACCATCCTGTGGTGTTGGGTCCTCGTTTTGAGGAGACAGTCCCCGCGTCCACTCCACTCCTCTCCTCTCCTCTCCTCTCCTCTCCTCTCCTCTCCTCTCCTCTCCTCTCCTCTCCCCTGCTCTCCTCTCCCTCTCCCTCTCCCTCTCTTCATCTCTTCTCCTCTCCTTTGCTTTTCTCTCCTCTCCTCCTCTTCCCTCCCGCTTCTCCCTCCTCCCGTCACCCCCTTCACTTTGGCACACCCCTCACACATGTCGTGGCCCCATAGGGAGCTCTACCTAAGGCCCCAGTGGCTTCGCCCTCATGCCGCCGCCCCCTCATTTTGGCACACCCCTAACACGTTTCGTTGTCCTACGGGAGGTTCACCTAAGGCCCCAGTGGCTTCGCCCGCATGCCGCCCCCCCCTCCCTTCATTTTGGCACACCCCTCACACGTTTCGTGGCCCCATTGGGAGCTCCGCCTAAGGTGGCTGCCCCGCATGCCGCCGTCCCTTCATTTTGGCACACCCTCTTCCGGCTGACCTCCGCGCCCCCATGCGGGCCGCCCCAGCGGCAGCGACCGCATGGCGGCCCCACTCAATTTCGGCGCTGTCTTCACGCATTTCGCAGCTCCGTCGGGAGCTCCACCGATGGCGGTTCTGACCCGAAGAACTGCACATGGTTGGGTCCTTCGCCAGGATTATGTTCAACAGGGATGGTGCGGGGGGGGGCATGGGTTCGGGTTGGTTGCCAGTCGTTTGCGGGAGGGGGTGTAGGGAACAGTGGTGAGCCCCTCCCCGAAGGGGAAGAAGGGGGGTTGGAGGAGGAAACGCTTGAAACCACTCACGCCCAGAGGGCTTGTGAGATTCTTGGATGCTGCGCCTGCCTGGCAGGCGCAGTCGAAGGCTCCTCAGAGGCGGGGGGAGGGGGGGAGCACCCCACCTTCTTTGTAGTTTTCTTTTAGTTTTGTGGATTGATCCAGGGGTATGGTCAAACATGAAAACTCTGCTGGGGCATCCTTCAAAGCCGAAAGGCTTCCGACGTTAGAAAGAGCGCGTTCTGTGGTCGCTTGGAGGGGGGGGGGTTGGAACCGGACCCGAACCTCCTCCCCCCGTCCCGGGGGCGTTCGGCCCCCCCCCACCCCCCCTCCTCCCCTCCTTTTCCTCTCTTCCTCTCCTCGGGCAGGCGCCTGCGTCGGGGGCGGCTGGCGGCGGCGGCGGGGACGACGATTTCCTGATCTGGGGAGGCGCCGGCGCCTGCGGCGGCGGGCGGCGGCGGCGGGGAGCGTCGACGAGGACGACGGTGGTGGTGGTGGTGGTGGTGGGTTGTGGTGGTGGTGGTGGCGGTGGTGGTGGTTGTGGTGGTGGTGTGGTGGTTTGTTGTGGTGGTGGTGGACGTTGTGGTGGTGAGTGGTGGTGTTGGTGGTGGTGGTGGTTTGGTGGTGGTGTGGTGGTGGCATGTGGTGGTGGTGGTGGTGGGTTGTGGTGGTGGTGGTAGTGGTGGTTTTGTGCTGGTGTGGTGGTGGTTTGTGGTGGTGGTGGTGGGTTGTGGTGGTGGCGCTGGTTTGTGGAGGTGGTGCTGGCGGTGGTGGTGGTGGCGGTGGTGGCGGTGGTGGTTGTGTGATGGTTTGTGGTGGTGGTGGTGGTGGGTCGTGCTGCTGGTAGTGGTGGTGGTTGTGGCGGTGGTGGTGGTGGTGGTGTGGTAGATTGTGGTGGTGGTGGTGGTGGTAGTGGTGGTGGGTTTTTGTGGTGTTGGTGGTAGTGGTGAGTTGTGGTGGTGGTGGATGTGGTGGCAGTGATGACTGTGGTGGTGGTGGTGGTGGTTGTGTGGTGGGTTGGTGGTGGTGGATTGAGGCGGCGGTCGTGGTGGTACTGGTGGTGGTGGTGGTAGTTGTGGTAATCGTCGCTGCGTCTCCGCCGTCCTCAGCGCCAGCGCCGGCACTGCGCCGGCGCCGGCGCCAGGGGAGGGGGGTATCCATAACCCCTTCCCCCCCCCACCCTCCTTGGGCTGCCTCTGGTCAATCGTTGCTGCGTCCCCGCTGTTGGCGCTGCTGGCGGCCGCCAGCGCCGGCGCCGGCGCCAGCGCCGGCGCCGAGGGGGGGGGGTTCGAACCCCCCCCTTTGGGAGTGGGGGGAGGCGTTCGGGAGGGGGGGTATGGGGTGGAGGGGAGTCCCCCTGGTTTTGATCGACGGCGCTGAGTGTTGGGGGGTGCATCCCCCGCATTTGAAACGCGCGCCGAATGTTCCCAAGGCAAGCGCCCGTGAAACGTTCTCTCTCCGACGTTATGATGTCTGGCGGTGTCTTTGCAGGTGCCCGGCGTTCTCCGAGGTGCCCGTCGTTTCCTGATTGCGTTTTTGTCCATGGCGGCTGGCATCAGACTCGTGGTTGTCGCTCGAGATTTCCCGACGGACCGACCTTTATCCGCCGCAAGACGATGGCAACGACGAGGTCGACGGTTACGATGGTAACCGTGATGATTACGATGATGATGGTGATGATGATGATGATTAGGATGGTGCTGGTGATGGTGGCGATAATGATGATGACGACAATGACAATGATTAGGATGCTGATCAGTCGCGACGAGAGGGACGATTGGATGAAAGAGCGGAGGGAGGGCTGCATCGACATCCGTCTGAACGGCGACCAACGGTCGAGGATCGGCCGCAGGGACGTGGACTTCCGCGACGCCGTGGAGCAGATGGAGCAGGTGGAGCTCGCCGACTGCACCGACCTCGGGCCGCGTGCGATGGGCGAGTTCATCACGTCGGTGGCCGTCGGCAGTGGGAACCTCACCAGCTACCAGGCCGAGTTGGAGCGGATGAGCGGCGTCTTCTCCGGGGGGGCCCAGTGCCACGAGCATCGCTCGCTCTTGGAGATCGCTCGCCGCGCGATCTGCATGGACCAGCTCAATGTGAAGAACCTCCATTGCATGGAGGCGCTGGTCAGGCGGGTCATTCAAATCGAGATGGCAGTACAGCGTAACCCACGGCATCCAGACTTCTCTGGTCTTGAGGATGCCGTCGCCGGGCCTACTGGTGCGACAGGCTCGGCCGCCGTCCCGAGGTACACGGAGTTCGTGGTGGCCCGCCAGAAGGACCGCGCCAACATCTTGAAGCAGATGAGGCTACACAAGGAGGAGCTGGACCGGGAGCGCCCTTCGGACGACGGGGGGAAGCGCAACCGGAAGGACAAGGAGAAGGACAAAGGCAAGAAGAAGAAGAAGGGTGGCCCCCCGGGCGATGGCTCGGGGGGCGGGGAATGAGTGCGTTCCCCGGCGCTCACCAGCAGGGCTCTGCCGCGCCTGAGGACGGTGGGCGCTTTCATCGTGGAGCTAGGGGTCAGACCACATCCGAGTAGTGGCCCCGCGGCCAGTGGCTTCACAACGACCCTTTTCCCTTGCCCCAGGTGGCCATCGACGCAAGGCCGTCCGGTGCCCCTCGCCCCACTATGCGACGGTGGAGAATCAGGACTGAGAGGCAACGGCGAGTTTTTGAAGCGGTTGACACACTCAACTACCTCGCCGCCTCACGTGTGAATTCAGGATGCGACAAAGCTCGACGAGTCAGGCCGTACGGGGGGCCTCCCACAGCAGTGCAGCGCAGCGTGCTGGAATCGGTCCAGGAGCGGATCGACTTCTACGGGAACCCCTCGAGCGAAGCGGTGGATGGCGAGAGGTCCCTCCGGGAGATCCTCAGATCCACTGACCAGTACGAACTGGAGCCGCAGCATCTGGCGAGCTACGACGTCACACGCCTCAGGGTGTGCAACGGGGACATCCACCCGGTTCCCGTGACGGATCTGCTACCTGCCGAGGCTGCAGGATTTTTGAGACACTTTCAGAGCCAGATCGAGCTCACAGAACCTGAGATCGCCGAGCGTGTCCGAGAGTCTGGGGGAATGCCCGAGCCGTGCTGGGATCCTCGGCTTCGCGGTGATGCTGGGCTTCGACGTGATTTTTTTGCCGACTTGCCAAGATCGGCTTCGTGGGTTTCAGGCGGGCCATCAAGTCCCGCTGCGGCGCGTTCTTTGTGCACAAGAAGGACGGCAACATCAGGTTCATTTGCGACGCGAGGGCGACGAACATGTGCCATCGTCTCCCTCCTCGGACGGTCTTGGGAGGTGCAGCTTGCCTCTCGGAGATCGACCTCAGCGGCTATGCCACGGCGCACGGGGGTTTCGGTGGCGTCTGTGAGCCACGTTTCTCGGGTGCTGACGTCAAGGATTGTTTTTGCCAGCTCGCCAACGAGGAGATGGGCAGCTGGTTCGGGTTCGACTTCGCGCTGACCGTCGAGGACTGGGACCTGGGCATCACGCGTGTGTGGGACGACGACGTGGGGGGCTTGACCCCCGCCCGGGCGGGCGAGCTCCTGTTCCCCTGCCTCCGTGTTTTACCGATGGGCTGGGCTTGGGCGCTGTACTTCCCTCGGGAGGCGGTCGCGCACCAGGTTCGGCTCTCTGCTGCAGATGGCGATCGACAGCTCCTTCGAGATAAACGACCTGCACCCCTCTAGCGGCCCGGGAAGCCGCTGGCCGCCGCGTACGTGGACAACTTCACGGGCGTGGGGGGTTCGGCCGCCGACGCCGAGCTCGGGGTGCGGGTCTTCGAGGAGCGGGCTGCCGAAGCGGGGCTGGCTTTGCACGCCGCGGACGTGGCGGTGGAGGAGCTGGAGAGCCTGGGCCTGGTGTTGTGCGGGGCCGACCGCCGCGTGCGCCAGAAGCCCAGGCGGGTCTGGCGCTTCTACTTCGCCACGAAGGCCTTGCTGAAGCGGGGCCGCGCGACGGGTGCCGAGCTCCGGGTTTGGGCGGGGCATGCCGTGGCCTTCCTGGGGCTGCAGCCCTGCTTGCTGTCCATCCAGCAGGGCGTCTACCACTTCATCGGCGACGGCAGCCGGCGACGCGCGGAGTTGCCCGCGACGGTCCGCGGGGAGCTCCGCATGGCCGCCATCGCTTGTTTTTTGACTGAGGTCGACCTGGGCGCGCCTCTCGCCGACGAGGTCCACGTCTCGGACTCGTCGTCTTCCGGCTTCTGCTTGATGTGCGGGCGGAAGCCACTTCGTGCCGTCTGGGATGCGTATCGCTGGCGTGAGCGCTGGCGGTTCGTGGAGGTGGAGGCGGACGGGAACTCGGACGCCTACGCGGCGGCGTACCTCAACCAGCTCCGGGGCGTCACCGACGGCTTCGGGGCCACGCTGGACGTGGGCGCCCGCAAGCACGCTGACACCCGCGTTCGGGCAGGTCAGCCGGCCGGGGCCTGGCGCGAGACCGAGCTAGGGAAGCTCTTGTTTCGCCGTGCTGCTGTCGGCCGCGGAGCGCCGCGGCGGTGGGCCAGCCGCCCCCGCCGGACCCAGGAGGTGGAGCTGCTGAACGTCGTGCCCGCTTTGCCGACCGCCCTCGCCAGTGACTCCGGGTGGGCCACCGCCGTCGAGGGCCGCTGGAAGTACGACGAGCATATCAACGTGAAGGAGGGCAGGATCTGCGTGGCCGGCCTGAGGCGTTCTTGCCGAACGCGCGCCCGCCACGGGCGCCGTGCTCTCAGCCTCTGTGACAATCTTGTTTGCTGCTGCTGCTTTGACAAAGGCAGAGCTCGATCGCGCGTTCTCAATTCGCTGTGCCGGAAGGCGGCCGCCTACAGCGTGGGCTGTCGCGTCCGGTGGCGGGTCAGACACGCCCCGACGGACCTGAATGTGGCCGACGAGGGGTCGAGGAGGGATCGGGCCCGCGACCCCGAGTGGCTGCTGCAAAAGAAGAGGGAGCGACAGCCTGTGGCCCCCTGGTTGCCGTCCGCGAGCGTCGGGGTAGGGGGCCCATCCTCTTCGTCTGCTCCCTCCACTTCCAGAGAACACGCAGAGACGCCATCGCCTCCCTCCACCTCGCAGACACGCGTCTTTCTGGAGTTATTCGCGGGCGCGGCGGGGTTGACCGCCGCCCTGCGACGTGCTGGGCTGCGGGCGGCGGCCCCGTTTGACATCGAGAAGGGTGCCGAGTATGACCTCTCGAGGAGAAAAACAAAGCTGCTCGTCCTGTCTTGGGTTCGGTCTGGAAAGATTTGGGCTGTGCACCTTGGGGCCCCTCGCAGAGCCTGGAGCAACGCTTGTCGTGGAGTCCGTAACCTTCGTCGAGCTGAGATCCTGGAACGTCTCGGGGTTGAGTTTGCTCTGTTTACTGCTGAAGTCGTTCGTGGGTGTCAACGTTGTGGAGCGGGCTGGGGCATCGAGAACCCCGTGACCTCTGGGCTCTGGAGCTTCCCTCCTATTGGTCGCCTCGCTGGTTTCCGTGGTGCGTCTTGGGTTCGATTCCCTATGTGTGCGTATGGTGCTCCTCGCCAGAAGTGGGCTCTGGTGCTCGCGAACATCCTGGAGCTGAGGGGCCTGGCGGCTCCATGTGCCCATCGTCGACACGAACAGCTAGTGGGTGAAGTTCGGGTCCCTGATGGCTCTCCGGGGGTCATGTCTGGTGCGACCTCGCGGCCCTGGCGGGTCAGTATCCGTCGGCTTTGTGCTCGAGGTGGGCTTCGCTCTTGGGCGAGGTTGCGCCTCTGGCTGCCCGGGGGGGCGATGCCCCCTGGGCCGGCGAGTGGCGCGCTGCTTTGGAGGCGCTGGTCCGGCCTGGTCGCCGTCGTCGTGCTGGGCGGGATGTTCCCGGTGCTGACGAGGCAGCGAGCGGCGATGCGGCTTGTGGGGCCGCAACCGACTACCTCGCGCACCGCGGCGCCCTCTTCGGCAGGGCGGGGGCCGCCGAGCGCGCCCGGCTCAGGAGGCGCGGGGGGGCTCTCGACCTCCCAGTCGCCCCGCCGCCGGGCCACGGCCAAGGCCAAGGCCGCCGGCCGGCGCCGCCGAGCCCAGGACAGCGGGCGCTCGCGGGCGCAGTTCATGAGGGAGCTGTCCGTGGCGGAGTCCACTCGGAGGCTGTGCGCGACGGCGCTCGAGGGCTTCGAGTCGTGGTGTGATGAAGTCGGTCGCCAGACCAACAGTGCGAAAGACGCTGATGAGAATATGGTGCATTGGTTTGCTCAGATGTTCTTCGACGGCATGGGTCCTGGGACGGGCCGCAACGGCCTGTTCGGCTGGATCTTGCTACGCGGGGAGCCTTTTCAAGACGGACGTCAGCTGCCCCCTCGAGCCCGGAGGCAGTTGAAGGCTTGGGAGCGGGCGGACCCCGGCCAAGTCGCCCTTTCCTACCCGCTCATCCTGATCTGGGCCATCGCGCTGGACTTGCTGAATCACGGCCTGGTGCGGATGGCCGCCTGCGTGGTGCTTCAAACCGATCTGTACTCGAGGCCCTTGGAGACTCTGGAGCTCCCAGTGGCCGACATCCTCCGCAGCCAGCCCGCGGCAGGCCGTGCCTTTGCCGGCCGCTGGGCGGTGGTCTTCGCGCCGTCCGAGTCTGGGCGGAAGACCAAGACTGGCCAGACGGGCGACACCGTCGACGTCGGAGTGTGCGGCCGCGAGTGGGTACGTGACATTGTGGCTGCGCTCAAGGATTTGGTCCAGGCGGGGGAGCACGTGTTCGACTTCGACCTTGCCACCTACGAGAGGGAGTTCAGGGCCGCCTTGGTGAGGCTCAGACTTCAGGCCGTCGGCGGATCCCCTCATTGGCTGCGCCACTCCGGCCCGTCCAACGACAGATTCGAGAAGAGAGCTGATCTCCAGTCGATTCAGAAAAGAGGCCGCTGGGTGAGTTTCAAGAGCGTCACGAGGTATGACAAACACGCCCAGCTGCTGAAGCAACTTGAAAAGTGTGAGCCTTCTCAGATTCGAAGCGCGATGCGCGCTGCCAGCTCTTTGCCTGCCAGGCTTTTGCGCTCGCTTCGCGAGATGACGGTCCGTGGACCAGTCCCGAGGAGTTCGGGGAGTTTGGCCGAGAAGAAGGGGCCTGCGAGTTTCGGCTAGCCGATCTCCTTGGAAGAATTGCCTTGCACTGCCTGCTCGGTGCCGGCCGGCGCCCCCCACAGCATCGCTCGACGTTTGCTCTGGAGAGAGACCTTCGCGGCTCGAGGGGCCGCTCCGCTTGCACGCTGCTTGCTGCTTGGCCTCGCCTCCTGCTGCTGCGTCGGGTATTCTTGCTGGTTAGCGGTCTTTGGGACCCAGGAGAATTGTAATCTGTTGATGTGTTTTCTCCAAGTCCCTCTGTAGCATACCGGTCTGTGCATCAGTGTCGCTCTCATTCTAAACTATGATGGCTCAAGTTCTGCCATCCTGCTTCCCCACCGCCGCCCGTTCTCTTGGCCGAGATGGAGGGGCCTGCGAGTTTCGGCTAGCCGATTTCCTTTGAAGAGTTGTCTTGCGCTGCCTGCTCTGTGCCGGCCGGCACCCCTCGCAGCATCGCTCGACGTTTGCTCTGGAGAGAGACCTTCGCGGCTCGAGGAGCCGCTCCGCTTGCGCGCTGCTTGCTGCTTGGCCTCGCCTCCTGCTGCTGCGTCGGGTATTCTTGCTGGTTAGCGGTCTTTGGGACCCAGGAGAATGAACATTGATATGGTGATGCTGCTGATGACGAACATGCTGATGCTGATGCTGATGATGATGCTCCTGCTGCTGATGATGATGATGATGATGATATGGATGACGGTAATGATGATGATTCGTATGGTGATGCTTCTGATATTGATGATGATGTTGATGATGACCATGAGGCTGATGTTGAATGTTGATGTCGATGTTGATGGTAATGATAGCGTTGATGGTAATGGTGACGATGACGATGTCGATGACGATGGTGGTGTCGATGACGATTAGTATGCTGATCTTCATCATGATGCTGATGCTGATGATGATGATGCTGATGCTATTTATGCTGTTGATGCTGCTGATGATGACGATGACGATGATGATGGACTCGATGATGATGGTGATAATGGTAATGATGATGGTGACGGCAATGATGATGACGATGCTGATGCTGATGATGATGCTGATCATGATGATGTTAGTGGTGCTGTTGATTGTGGTTGTGATGATGACGATGATGAGGCTGATGCTGATGCTGCTGATGATGATGGTGCTGATGATGATGGTGCTGATGGTGATGCTGATGATGTTGATGCTGCTGCTGATGATGTTGTTGCTGATGCTGCTGCTGCTGCTGATGATTATGATGCTGATGATGCTGCTGATAATGATGACGATGATTGTGGTGGTGGTGATGCTGCTGATGATGATGTTGCTGAGAATGATGATGATGATGATGAAAATGATCATGATGAGAATGATGATGATGATGATGATGATGATGATGATGATGATGATGATGATGATGATGATGATGATGATGATGATGATGATGCTGATGATGATGCTGATGATGATGATGATGATGATGATGATGCTGGTGGTGGTGATGATGCCGAGGATGAGGATGAGGAGTAGGAGGAATTGGCGAAGGAGAAAGAGGATGAGAAGGAGAAGGAGGAGGAGGCGGAGGAGGAGGAGGAGGAGGAGGAGGAAAAGGATGATCGTTGTCGTCGTCGTCGTCGTCGTCGTCGTCTTTGCCGATGCCCGCTTGGACGTGCGCGCGCGCGCCCGGCGCACCCGTGCGCAGCCGTTCCAGCCTTGGGCCGTGTCGGCGGGTCTTTCTCACCCTTCCTCTTCTCCCTCCTTCCTCTCCCTTCCCTCCTCCCGCCTCCCTGCCACCCTCTCCTCCTCGCTCTCCCCCCTCCCCGTTCTCCTCCCCCTCGTCCTGGTCCCTCCTTCCTCGTCTCCCTCCTCTTGAATGTGACAGAATGTCATTTCCCTCAGTTTCGCCAAGTTGGACGTGTTTTCGCCCGGGTAGTGCTGTTTTTAAATGTTTTCACACTCGTGAGTGTACTGGATTTGCCTGTCCTATTTCCCACGACGTATGTTCGATTGCGGAGTATACGTGATATGTTTCTTATCTCGCTACGAACGGTTCGAGCTCTCTGCAACCGTAGTTCGGTGTTCGCTGGGTTATTCCACGAGCGCAAACATTCCAAGCAACACAGGCGCATGCTCGCACGCACAAGCTGGACTGCATGCGATGGCAATGGTACGTGAACATGTTACTCTCACTTTTGCCTCTCCCTCCCTCCCTCCCTCGTTCCCTCTCTCCCTCCCGCCCATCCTTCCCCTTTCTCTCCCCCAAATTCTTAATCCCTCCATGCCCCCTCCGGCTTGCCTCTCCCCCCCTCCCTCCCTCTCCCTCCCTCCCTTCTCCTCTCCCTCTCTCCTCCCGGTCTCCCTCCAGCCCCCATCCCTCCCTTCTCGTGCTCCCCCGCTCCCTCATCTTCCTTCTCTTCGTCCTATTCGTCCTCCTCGTCCTCCTCCTCCTCCTCCTCCTCATCGTCTGTACGCAGGAGTACACGAATGCAGCACGCTGCTGTTTCTCTTTCTGCATCGCCGATGCCCCGAGCGAGTCGTTCCTTTCCGTTCCATTCTGTTCGATTCCGTTTTTCCCCGACGTTTCGTTCCCCCTCTTCCTCGTCCTCGGCCGCATCCTCGACGTCGTCGTCCTCGTCGATTCTCGCGTTCCTCGAGCTCATCCACCTCCCTCCTCGGCATCCCCAACCCCGAACTCCTCGAGCCTCCTCCTCCTCCTCCTCCTCCTCCTCCTCTTCCTCATCGTCCATCTCGATGCCCCCCCCTCCTAGTCGCTCCTCTCCCCCCTCCTCTCCCCCTCACTAGGGCCCCTCACAACCTCGAGTTGCAAAACCTCCTCCTGGACATCCTCGGCCAGTTCGGGCTCCTCCTCCTCCTCCTCCTCTTCCTCCTCTTCCTCCTCCTTACTTACTTACCCATCCACGAGGGGAGTCCCCGCAGAGTTACACACGCATGCACAAGAGGGAGGGGAGGAGCAAGGAAGGAGCGGGCTACCCGCTCTCTGGTCGCGCCCACGGCGGGCCCACGGCGTGGCCGGCGGCCCCAGCGGCGGCGGCCGCCCCGGCCTCGGCGTACGGTTCCAGCAGGTACTTGACCTGCTGGAGGCCGTGCTCGATGGGCGGGACCTGGGCGACGTGGGGCAGCATGCCGAGCCCGGGCTGCGCCTCGCACAGCGCCGCTGCCACCAGCAGCATGGGTTCCAGTGGAGCCTGGGTGGCCGCGATGGTGCGTGCACCAACCAGCGTCACGGCGGGCTCGCATCCGGTCCATCACACATGGGCACCCGATCGTTAGCACGACAGACGGGGCCTTGCGACCAGCACCAAAAGCACAGCCAGTGGACAGGGCGGCAAGCTCGGACAGCATATTGATCTTCCAGATCGAAGCCGCCTCTGGTAGCCACCACTGCCCAGCTGCATGCAGGACCACTGTGGATGAACCCGACACGTGCGCAGCAGCCGAAAAAAAAAAAACGTCGCACATCTGATGAGGAGGTTTTCTCTGTCCAGCATCTTGGCATCCTTGGGCGACAGTTTGTGGGCTCCCCATTCTTGCCCAGCCCTGCGCAACACCTTCTGCACAGAGCCAGGCTTCGGGAAGCTCCGCGAGCCTCTGGGCAGCGCCGCGACCACCGCCACAATCTTCCTGCATTTTATCAAATCAATCCACAAACTCACTTTAACAGCGTCACTTTATCACTTGAGAAATCCAAATACAGAAAGGTCACATTGACAGGATTGAAAACAACGCTCAAGACTCCTGCAACGTCATCATCCTCAGGCGGCCCCAGTGACACTAATACAACATATACCATCTTGGTCACAGCAGGCGGCAGTGCCATCTGGAGAGCCATGGCTGAGGTGGTAGGGCAAATCTGGGCGGCTGGCGGCATCGCCCGCACACTCAGCCTTCGGGAAGCGCATGGCATCTCCTGGCACCGCCGCGTCGAAGGCCTCATCTAGAGCATACCCAGCCGCTGCACGCTCTCGTCAAAATATCAGGCCCTGCTTACGTAGCTCCATCGCCTCCGCCACTCCCAGGGATACGTCAGTGTCTATCAGAATGTGTAGGCAACCCGAGTCAGGCCGTCTCAGGTGCTTGATGAACCCAGGACGTGCATCAAACTCCGTACCGCAAGCCTGACACTGGGAGCCTCTCGCGTGCAATTGAGCCATGTCAGTGAGCTAATGCACACGCCGCCAGTGTCCTCCGTACCCTGCTTGCGTAGAGAACGACTTCCCGCACTCGTAGAAGAGTTAGGCGATGTCGCCCTGCACGGGACCTCCAGCTTGCTGGACAGACCTGCCCAACATGTCTTGGGCTCGCTTGGTAACCCACGCGTTCCCCATTTCTTGCCTGGTGCACCGTGCCGATCTCCTCCAAGCCAGCTTCAATGCGCCGCGGAACTTGCCTTGCTCCCTCCTGGCAATTCTCGCCCACGCTTGAAAACCTTTGTAGATGAGCGGGTCCTCGTCACGTCCAACGTCTGATCATGCTGTGCCAACTTCGGCCATGAGCTTGTGATGCCAGCCGTCAGATCCAGTAAACGCGTCAGCGCAGGCGGCCCACGAACCATTCGCCTCACACCATATTATTTGAGCCGGCGAAACCTAATCGCGTCCTCGAAACCACACCGTGATACTTCGCATAGCACCTGAGCGTCCGTTTTCCTTTCCATCGCCATGGCGGAGTGGAGCGACTTCGTGGCCACGCGGCGCCCAGAGACGAGTGCGCGTTTCTATTTCGCCTCCGTGGTCTTGGAGATGGCGCCCCAACGCTCCGCCTGGAAGAACAAGTGCGCGCTGGCTAACGCATCGACATGCCTGACCTTGTGAGTGGCAGGAACCAGATGCCTGAAAACCGCGGCCCTCAATGGTCGTATATTTGCCGCATGCTCGCCAACTCTCCTTGCGAGTTCGGGTCCGTCCGCGCCGTTGTTCGTCAGGATGGTTCCCGCATGCTTGTGCTTCTTCCCGATGAAGATCTGATCTTGGCCATCCACATCCAGCTTGGCTGCAACTTTATTCGCGAGGTCCCTCCTGGCTGCTGTGCTGCCAGGC